AAATAATATAAATATTATGCGAGATGTCACCAGTGTGACGCTCAGCGAACTGCTGCCAGGAGTGTGGTGAGTTGGTGATGGAAAAGCCTCACTTCAAAAATGATCCATGTCACTGAGTCCAGAGTCAGCCAGGCCCCCCTGGAGAGGGTCTGGTCTGTCTGGGAGATGTCATACGGGAAAGTTCTTGCAGAGAAGCTCATTTTGGGGAGGTAGCGAGTTACTTTTTATACTTTTTTTTTTTTTTTTGGTGTAGAGATGTAAGTGGGTGTAGGGCATCAGTTCCCAGAATAGTTGTTGCTGACTTCTGTTCTTCTGGAAGGTCGGTTCATTATCTCACTTTGTTTCCCTGACAGGGAAATTTTGGCTGAGCTTATCAAGGATGTCCCAGGACTCCTGGAAAAAAGAGACATCCTTCTTTGTCAGTATGTTTACCAGGTCACCTCTGTGGCTGCTCCCTCAGCAGGCTGTAGCTAAAAGAAGTTGGCAGGTAAATGGCTGGTCAAGCGTGTAGTACCGTGGGGTTTCTAATGCAGAGTGAAAAGGGACAGTTCATATAATCATCGTAATAATTACTGTGTGCTAGAAATTATTGGAAGGTAAAACTAAAGGGTGAGAGCAGCAAAATCAGGATGGGAGATTTTAAAAAGAAAAGAGAAAGTAGAGTTCAGCAGAGCCAAAGAAGTTGGGAGGATGATCTTAAGGAGTCTCAGCTGGCAGTACATGACCTGTCGACGGTACAGAGTGGCACACGGTGGGGCCAGAACTGACGCTGCCAGTGATGCCTGCTGTTACAGTGCATACTAACGATGGGACCAGGCCAGGAAAACAGGAGAAACCCTGGTTGGAGGATTTCTGAGGAAATGCTGAGGACCAGTCGAAAGCTCTGCAGGTGAGCAGTGCAGCTGTGTTCAGCATGCGTCGACCGCACTGGGATGCAGGCTTTTTGAGATTTGACAGCATTGAAATGACTGCAGCAGATGCTACTAAAATTTTTTTAAGGTAAAAAAAAAAAAAAAAGACTGGGAAGAAAAGCAAACCTTTTTCTCTGTACAAGTCTGTTCAAGTAAGTCGTTTGAAAGCTGTGGGTTTTCCTCCTGGACTGGCTTTGCGTGGTGAGGCCATCCAGAGGTCACATGAAAACGGATGAGCCAAAAGAGGATCCTGTTTTGGGGAAGTACGTGTCTCTTGGCCTTGGCTGGCCCTCCTGACAGATGTCCAGCACCTGCAGGAGCCCTGAACTGGAAAGGGGAGCAAAGGCGTGCAGCTCCCGGGAGGCATGTGGGCCGTGCGTGTCTGCCGGTGGGGCACATCCACTCAGGCTGGCTTTAGCCAACGCTTTGCAGAGGAGGGATCAGGGCACGTGGAGATGTTTGCAGGTGCAATCAGGGAGGAAGGGTCCAAGGAGCTGTCTTTAAGTCTAGAAAAGGAGGCAGAAGGAGTAGATTAGCAGCCTTCCAAGGAATGCAAGGCTCTTGGAGGATGACTTCTGCACAGCCGCAGCACGAGGGAAAGGTCAGCCTTACTCGCGGCATTGGCAAATGATGTTAATAGCTGCAAAGGTGACTGTTTTTTCCTCCCTTGCTATCAGGGTAGGAAATCACCAGGACAGGCTGTGAATCCCCTCCCCAAGGGTTTCAGGGCGCGGACAACACCTATGGTGGGTTCAGCTTTGCTGTGCTGGTGCAGAGCTGTGCTGGGTTTCTCCAGCTCTCCTCCAGCCTTCAGTCCTGTGATCCAGCTCTGCTGTCCAAGCAACCCCGTGCGAGAAGTCAGGCCCGTTCCCTGAGGATGCTGTGTGGTGGTAGTGGCACATCCAAACTGCTCAGAGAGGCATGGACGCTTTCACTTTTACTTTTGGTTTAGGCACTTTCTCTTTCGCCTCCTCACAGCCTGCGAAGTGACTGTCAAGGCCCTTCTGCTCCTGCAAATGAAACCTGGATGTGTCAGGGTTTTGCATGTATTTCTGTGAGCCCAGACTGTTCCTTAGGGTGGGAACAGGTCTGAAGGAGCCCTTTAAATCTGAAAGGGGAGATGAGGGTCACAGCAAGCTGCCAGGCTCGGTGCCACACTCTGTGATTGTTTCATTTCATGTGTTTATCTATTACTATGGCAACTTTTTTTTTTCCCCCATTTTGGACTTTCATTTTTACACTGCAGCTGAACTCGCAGGGAGGAACAAATGTTTGAGTTATCACCTGCAAAATTGCTGTTTATGTTGCATTTCCAAGAGCTTCCCAGCCTTTTTTTTTTTTAAAGCCTTTAGCTTTTACCCCTGAAAGATATCGAATATCCAATTCTTTTGCTGATTTAACACTGGGCACTCTCAGTGTGTGTTCTGCGCCCGGTGGGGTTTTTAACCCTGTAATCTCTATTTGTTAACTTGATGGCTCACATACTCAGCGTGGAAACACACAACTGGCTCCCAGCTCACACTTTTAGACGTGGCCTTTCTCATGCTCCGAGACCACAGATTTGTTGATGATGCAGAGTTGCAAGACGCTATCGGGAGGAGGAGGAGAGTATCGCACCCTGAAAAAAGTGAGGTGGTTTGGAGCAGCAGCTGTGAAATTAAATAGCACCCGCTGCAGTCCTGTGGTTTTGGGACATTAAGGAGTGGTTGAGGGAGCTGGGCTTGTTCAGGTTGGCAGAGAAGATGCTGAGGACAGAGGGCTGTCTCTCCTCGGAGGATGACTCTGGCCACAAGCGTTGTGGTGCTCCAGCAAGAAGCAAAAAGGGATGTTATGTTTGGTCTGAGCCTTTGAGCAGAGCTGTGAGTTGGGATGTAATTCCCTGATCTGATTTCCATGGAGGAGTCTGAACTCCCTGACTACTGCTTTGAGAGCCGCAGGATGCAAGAAACACAAAGACAAATGGAAGCCAAGTGAGGAAAAAAGTGAGCAAACTTAACATCCCTCCCTATCCTAATTAGCTTTGAAGAGAGAAAATAATAATGCTGAGAGAGCTGGAAGACCTCTTTATTTTTCATTTTTCTGCGCTTAAGAGCCAAGTTGTGCTCACCTGCACAAAAGACCCCAGAGCAATGTTAAGAGAGGCAAAAGTACTTCTAAAGACTTTCCTTTCTGTGCTCCCAATTTCCATTCCCAACTGCCCTCTACGTGCTTTTCTTAGAACCGTTTTTGAGCCGTTTTTATACCGTTTCCCCCCACTTTTTGCCTTGTCTGGATTTTCTTTTGCTTGGCACGGTGCAGATGCTGTCTCCCTTCCCCTGTTAAGCCCCGTAGCGCAGACTGGCCGAACTGGCTTATAGCAGTGCAGCTAAATGAGTTTAATGCACGCAATTTGAACTCTTATTTTTCCTGTTCCTTATATTAGCTCCTTCTTTGGCCTTGAGTAATTTGAGAGGAATAGCAAGATTTGTGACCGAGGGAATGATTCTTTTTTTTTTTTCTTCTTCTTTTTAATTGAGGGGAGGAAAAGAAAAAAAACCCGATTAAAATCTGTGCTTTAAAAATAGGAGTCAAAACACCAAGTAGGTTGCAGGGTGACAACAGATGCGATCTTGCTCATCACCAGGTTAAAAAGTTAGCAGTTTAGAGGTTAAAACAAGAACTTATGTATTTGTCCTCAAAAGTTTTGGTGAGGTTTTTCTTCAAGAGTGACCAAAGTGCAAAACCTGCTCTGCGGGTGGGGTTCGGTGGTTCTACGTTTCTTTCCTTATAGATGACTGCTTTATTTTCTAAAGTTTATGGGTCAGAAGAAAGAAACCTTTTCAATGTGTCTATGTTGCAAACTCTGCTTGGGATTTGAAATCTCGTAGCTCATGAATCACCCCCAATAATAAACATTTTTAAATGTGCAGCAGAGACTGAGCCCAGGATATCCTGTTTCTAAGTGGCTGCTTTATTTAATATTTGGGTTTTAACAGCTGCAAGAGCACAAATACTGCAGGGCTTTCCTTTGTTTCTGTGTCAGTCTTTAATTTGTCAACTGCTTTGGGACCTCTTCTTGGTGGGGTGCTGTTGGGGAGTGTTTTACTGGGATGTTTTCCATTGGAGATGTCAAGAGAATTTGGGCTTTGAGAAAACTCTGCCTGTTGAGGCTTCGAAGGAGGGTTTGCTCTTGTGGTATTGAAAGCCACATTTACCCAAGACCTGAAGATCTTTATAGTAAAACAGATAATCCTGAGAAACTGAGCATGCACTGAAATTTTCTCTGTGTGCAGATATCAACTCTCATACCCTAAAAGAGCACGCAACAAATCTAAGTAACTTTTTAGCACAAGAGAAAACTCTGACCTACTCAGAGTGTAAGGTTAATTTACCACCAGGCTTTGCTTCTAGTAGTTGCTAATGATTTCTTTCTCTTTTTTTTCCTGGTATTCCTCCTGCGGAAGGGCACTTTAACTTGCAGACAAAGACTTGGGGATTGCATGGCTGGAGGGGAGCTGCTGCTCCCAGTGGGAGCCACAGAGCTGATCTGCTCCATCAGCTCTGTGGAGATCTGGGCTTGATAAATGAGGCCCGTGTGCAGCGAATCACACTCAGCTGCCACCCACCTCTGCTGAGGCCCCGTACTCATCTGGGGATGCCCAGAGTTAATATTTTCACCTGCTTTTTGCTTTCTTCCTCCAGGTTTTCATCCAGAAGCGGAAGAGTCGAGTTCCCTTTTGCAGACAGCGGTTTCAGTGCTGCAAAGCTCCTACTTGGACTCCACATCTCAGGACGGTTTTCAGTACAGCCAAGCAATTCTGGTAGAAAACGATGTTTTCCTAAGTGAGGTAAGGCTGGTGGAGGAGCAAGGTGTTGCTGGCAGCTCGGGAAATGGTGGTGTTTCTTTGGGAGCTGCAGATGTCTGTAAATGCTGGTTTATTGGCAGGTTTTTCCTTGGCAGCACCTGGCTGCTCTGCTTGCCTTGTAGGGCCCCATTTGCAGTTCCTGACTGAAGGGAGCCTTTTCTTTGCTTGCTTGCACTTCTTCCTCCCCAATCTGATCAGGAACAAAAGGTCCATTCAGCCAACTTTGCCAAACATTCAGCAGCAGTTCCTGGAGCAGGCCTTCGGGGCAGGTTGAAATGCTGGTTTGATAGCTAGCATGAGAACTTTAATGTTATTGCACTTCTACTGATTCACAGCAAGACAAATTTCCGTGTGCTGTTCCTTGTGTCTGCCCTCACACCTGTGCAGGCACCAGTTTTAACCCCTTTCTCCAGCTGACTGGGGCATGTACAGAACCACTTTTAAAATGCCTTCATCCCTACAGTCCCACTGTCATTGGCATGGAAGACAGGCCATCTCCTCTGGGGATGGGAGATTAGTTAGTGGTGTCCCAGCTCACTGCAGGAGGGTTGGACTAGATGACCTCTAGGGGACCCTTCCAACCCAAAACATTCTGTGATTCTATGAGATGACCAGTCTGCTGGTGGTCATGAATTAAATAGAGCTTAGACATTTTGGCTGCCTAAATCTGGGATAATCACTGTGGAGCTGGGTGAAAGCAGGTATCAAGTAATTTGCTGATTTGCCTGGGAGTTCTAAAGCCAAAATAAGAAAAAGCAGTGATGAGATCATTGTTTTCTTATCTTCTAACCCTGTTTAAAAAATCCCATCCTTCTACAAATTCTGTGTTATTAAAGCCCCAAAACATCATGAACTCCAGACCCAGCTATGTTTGCTCCTGAGATGTCATTGTTGTCCCCCCCCCTCCCCGTCTGTACTGAGAACGTGCTCTGCTTTAACTATCAGACAAAAGAAATTGGAGTAATGTGTTACTGGGCTGTAGCCAAACCCTCTGAGCTGTAGTCACATGATAACACCAACCCTCTGATTGAATAATTTAGGCTTCCCTGGTCAGTGGAGAGAGAAAAAGAGAGGTGCCTCCAAGCGTCTCCCCTCCTGTAGGCATCTCTTCCATGGCTGATCTGTCTTCTGATGGCCATAGCTGGCTACTAAATGTGATGCTTCACCAGCCTACATGCTGCTCAGTGAAACAAGCTCTCCAGTAGCCGACGATGTGTGGCAAGAAGGGCAAAGTGGGAATAAGGCTGGACTTCCCTAGGATGAGTACAGCGTGACACTGCAGGGCTGGATGTGCCTGCTGTCCCTTGGAGGACATTGAACATGTTCTTCTGGGGACAAAGGCAGAGACAGATGGACAGATAGATGCATGGATTGAGGGCCTTGTGGGAGACTGGGTGTGCACGTGCCAGGGGGAGGGAACGATGTGTGGGCACATGAGCTGGTCGAGCGTCACGTGGCTGATGCCCCCTATACTGACCACGACATGGGATATGCCGTCCTCACACCATGAACACATGTCACCTGGCTCTGGCATGAACGGACTAGAACAAAGTGTTGTTGTGTCTTCTGCAGCTCAAAGCTTTTGCCCAAGCAAAGGAAGCCGCTGGGTACAGCCAGGAGGAGCTGGAGGAGACCTTTGCATTTCTCCTGTTTGATAACGAAGAAGAGGTAACCTGAAATGTTTATTCAGCTTAAGAATTTTGATGCCAAGTGCCTGCACATGTGCTCTGTCCCACCGAACTGGGCAGATCTATTGACAGAAGTGTCCTGGCTCTCTTACCCCAGTTACCAGTGCAATTACTACTGTATAAATAGTCCAGAACAGATTCTGAAAGCAGCTCCTGGGAGGTTTTAGTGATGGATCTTACTTTGCGTCTCTCCAGTTGATTACTGTTTGAGATTAGACTGCCTCCTTTGCCCTCTGTAGGGAGATAGAAGGAATCTTCCTTTGTCCCAGTGGATTTATGGTCAAGTACAGGCAGGTGAAACCTTTCATGTATGCTTAGAAGAGAAAAGCGCCTTGGTGACAGAAGACAGGAGTTTGTGCGGTGGTTTTGGGCCAGTTCCCTTGGTTTTGCCACCTAGGTGGAGAGAGAGCCTGACACAGCTGTTGGGAGATAGTTATTCCTGCCCATTTTTCACAAGGATACTTTTGATTTTGTGAGAAGAGCTTGTCTACAGAAGGATGCTCGGGAAATCTAGTTGGGAATTCACGTTTAATGTGATTTAGTGATGCCATGCTAAATCACTGTAGGGATGGTTTTGTTCAGGATGAGAGTGGCCTGACTGCAGTTTAGTTCTGTTCAGTTTGAACTGAGCTACAGTAAAATAAACCACTTCCACTCTCAGTTTGGGCGCAGGAATTGTCGCTCTTCACTTTAGCTGTTTGAAATTTAGCATAGTCTGTGCCAAGTGACTGAGCTCCTTGTACAGATTCTAGGAAAGAGGGAGTTCTCCAGAGGACACTTGGACCTCGTTTAATGCAGACATCTAAAACCTTTGGGCTAAATCCCTCTCTGGAGGTGCCTCTCTCTCCATGGTTCAGAGGTTCTAGCTGGGTAGTCTAAGCTAGACACTTGCCTTTTAGGAGACAGAAGTTAGGTGAGACGAGTGCCCCATGTTGCTTACGAAGGGACTGGAGTACAGTTTGACTGGTTTGCTTTTATTTCTCGTCCATTATGAGTTCAAAATGCTCCTATTGTCACTCTTTGGTCGATATGCATTTGGTCTTTGCACACTTTGATGAATTTGCCTTGGACACGGCTTAAATCAAAGCTGGTGAGATGCTCCCAAGGCAGTAATTGTGCCTATGAAGGATTGAGGACAGAGTAGCAAACGTCCTTTGTCTTCATGCCAGCCCTGTTGCATTTATTTTTCCACATGCAGATAAAGAAAGTGCAAAGTCCAGCCTTGCACTTGGGGTGGTTTATGGAGATGCTAGATTTTTTCCAGAGTTTTCTAAGCTTTTGCTTTTGCTTCCACAGAGGTTTTTGTAACAATACTTGATAAATACAAGTATTTATCTGAGTAGTACCTGAAACAACAAATTTTATTCCTGTTGGTTGTTGCGGTGGACATTGTGTTTAATTTTTCTTTATACTGTGGGTGTTTTGGGGTTGTAACGGTCTATAATGGACTTGCAGCACGTGTTTGCCTGTGGCAAGTGTTTTGCCAACTGTCGTGCTACAGATTTCTGTAGCTGTCTCCTTGAAAATAGATGGTAAAAGAGCCTCTCTCTTCTTTTGAAGGCAAAAGAGGTGTGTCACACAGGCCTCCGTGTAAACAGCAGTTCTATTTCCACACTTGGCGACCCAGCAAAAGGTAAGATTTCCATTCAGAAGACCAAGAGGCCTGTTTGCAGTTCTGGGGGTATCGACTCCTTTAAAAACAAAAGCAAAAGCCCGGACTAACTCCTGGTACTGCCTTGTTATTTACTGCAAAGGTCCATGGAAACTCCCTTGTTTCTGACATGGGAAAACTGCAGTTGTTTGGATCAAGCAAGCAGCAGTGCTGTCCTTCTGCCCCCTCAGCCAGATGAGGGATGGGATCTTCCTCAGGGAATGTTACCATCTCTTCACCTCTCCATTTCATTTATTTTTTACCCTTGTTAATAACAACCTGTGTCACCAAAGTGGCTTTTTGGCAGCTCTCCCCACCAGTTTGCTCTTCAGAGTCCATTGCTGAGCTTTTGCCAGCAGTCTTGTTAATAACCAGAGCAGATCGTGACGTGTCGAAGCCCTTTTCAGTCCATGCTTGTTCCTTGCCCAAAGGTCTGGGGCCTCAAGACATTACTCAAAGAAATCCTTCTGCCAGAAGCAGAACGTCTCCCAGTGCCATCCTGCAAGTCTCTGCAGGCCAAGATGCCTAATTATTGAACAGTCATGGCAGTGAATGCAAACCCAAGCAAGAACTGGTTATTTATCTGGGTGTATATCAGTCCTGATGGACTGGGATGATCATTATGGTGTGTCTCTTTGTAGCCCTTCCCCTGCCCAGTCCCTGTTTTCCCCCCATGCAATTCTCTACCCATCTTGTCTACAAATATAAAGCAGGAGTGAAGAAACAGCACCACCCGTGTCCCCAATAAATCCACATGGGATATGCCCTGAGCATGGAGAAGGGATGGGAATAGGCCATGTCAGAATAGGCCTTGTCACAGGGTAGAAAACTTCACGTTGGTATCTAGGACACTGAAGGGCCATAAAGAGCCAAGGAAGGGGCCTGGGAGGGTCCGTGCCATGCTTGAGCAGGGTTGAGCCTGCTCTCGTCCCCTTGCAGTCCATGTCCCCCACGTGTAAATGTCCATGTTGCCTTTGTGTGACTCCAAATTGAGCAAGGTGCCTGTCCCACATGCAGTCTGACCTGGAAGCCCTTCGCCAGATCTTCCAGTAAGAGAGAAACCCTCGCTCAGCATGTTTTCATGTAGTGTGGGCCAAACTGACGTTAGCTGGGCTACTTCTCCCAAGAGAAACCCAAGTTTAAATCCTTTCCTAGAGCTGACCCTGAAACACAGAATGCTGTTCCATACCAGGAGTCAAAAAAAGGAAGAATCAGAAAGAGTTTCACCCTTTTTATGGCAGCAAGCGCTACTGTAGTTTGCAGCACTGGCTCTGCAGAGACTCCAGTTCCCACCAGGAGGGTCCTCTTTACAGGTTTGGGTTTTTTTTTTTTGGCAAACAGCTTTACTCAACAGACAATTCACATTATCTTGCATTGCTTTGTTTTCACAGGGGTTTATATTTCCAAGTATGCAGACTGTCTTCATCCGAGACCCTGGTATCATGGAAAATCAGGCTATATTGTCATTTGTAAGCTAATTAAGGTAAAATGCAAGTCTGTCTTTTTATGTGGAATGGTTTTCAGAAGCCACTATACAGTGCGAGCAGCTTTTAAGGAGACGTTGGCACCTGTAACTGTGGTGGTGTGGGGTGTAAAATAAGCTCTGAGACCCTGTCGGGATTTTTGACTGTGGGATGTGTCAGACTAGAAAGCAAGGGATCAGACTGGGCTTGGCTGATGGCCTGGCAGGGGGGCAGAGGATGCATCAGACCTTCCAAATTCCACCGCTGAGATCAGAAATTCCCCTTTTTCCCTGGACTCTCGTGCATTTGGGGGGCTTGAGGGGGTGACCTTAAGGTGGCTGAGATCACAGTCCCATTCCCTTGCTCCATGGGGCTGGTGTGTGTCACCTTTCTCCCCTCCCCACGAGCCTCTGCTCTCTGTAGCTGGCATGCAAAGCGCACTGCTTCCCTTGGTTCTCCTGAGCAGCGCTGGTTTGTCTGCCATGCCGAGCTCGGCCAAGTCAGGCCCCTCCTGTTTGGAAGGATGCAAATGCACACAGCCCCCTCACAGTGGGGAATGTCAGGCTGCCAGCAACACTGTTTTTGGGGAAAAGGAGGATTCAAGGGTCTTTTAAAATAAGTTTCTGCAAACAATTATGTGTATTTTCTTTTTTTTGTAAATTTTCTGGCACAGGGGAAGGTCAAGGTGGTATCTGAGAATTACACAACCAGCTATACCTGTCCATCTCCTGGCTATGACTGCCACGTCGCCGTGAGCAGAAACAACATACCATCGAAGACCAGCCACTGCCAGGCCTTCGAGCAGAGCCAGGTACAGGTTTGCAACAGGACTGTGCAGACAGCTCATTTGCAGGCCACAGGGGAGCACAGCGCTGGCCCAGGTGCCTCACTTGTTCCTCAGCGTGTTTTTTCATCTGTGTTTCCCTTCTCACCCCAGTATTATGTGTATGAAGTGTCCGATGGCAGCACTGCAGAGCGGCCCAGGCAGATCTGCCCGTACATAGTCATCTCCTGCCAGTACAGGGAGCCGAAGGAAATGCCCGTCTTAGCTATAGAGAACCTGTAAGCAAGTTGTCTGTAATACCCAGTTGCTTTTGGGGGCTGTTTTCCTTTTCCCATTGCTAAACATTCCTCTTTTTCTCCCTTTTCTCTAGACCTGAGCTTAACCACAAAGGTAGGAGCACCTGATGGTTGGTTTTGTTCTATAAATGTACTTTCTCTGTTTGCCCTCCTCTCCTGCTTTCTCTGAGCTGTTCTCCCTTTTGCCTGTAGCATTGTACTGTCCATGGAGGGGGCAGCTCTCCATCCAGGGCCAACTTTTGTGCAACATCGCCCTGAGGACCCCATACAGCTCCACGATTCCAGCCCAGCTGTAAGTTGTCCCTTTCTCTTCTTTCTGTGCAATTCCTGGGGTGTGAAGCGTTACACCCTTAGGTGTCTGTGTACCAGCAAAAGCCAGTTTTGTCTCTCCTGCCACATCCCTTCATTGATCAGCATCTTCTTGCAGCTGTACCAACTTACCACCTGCACTGTCAGGGCAGTCGTCAGTGTCAGGAAAGCAGTGTTGGGCGGCCAGTGGTGCAGCGTCACGGCAACAGTTGGATGAGGACATGAGATCAGGCCCTGAACTGCAGCTGGAAACAGCTGTATTTTGTCCTCTCTTTTTGTTAACTTCTTTGGGATGTTTATTCCAAATCAATGATTCCTGCTTGGGATTTTCTTCTCTGTGAGAAGTGGACTTCCTGATGGCGCACATACTATCAGCCAGTTGTGTTTACAGATTGGCATGACGGCAAATAAAGTATTGAGGTAACTGGCGTTCAAAAAAATGAGATGTTTAAAATCTTCAGTAGCCAGAAGTTGACCAACAGGCAGCAATTTGAAACAGCCAGTGACAGCCAGTAACACAGCCACCAGCATCAGTGTTTGGAGGTGTTTACAAACAGCATCCTCAAATCAGCAAAGGGCTAAGCAAGCTGCACCTTCTCCAGAGCTGCTTTCTCTGGCTTCACAGTGACAGGGCAACCAGGACTCTTTCCTATGCTTAATCCTGAGAACCTTTTAATGCTTGTGATCTCACAGTCTGCTGCTTTATCCCCACAGGCCTCCCAACCTGGACATTAACCACGTCATGGGTTTGTCCGACTTGAAGAAAAAGCTGCCAGAAGCTGCATTTGGGAAAAGAAATTACATTGAGAATGAAGGTGAGTGCAAAACTCGCTGGTGTGATGAGTAACATATGAGCCAGCAGTGTGCCCAGGTGGCCAAGAAGGCCAACAACATCCTGGCTTTTATCAGGAACGGTGTGGCCAGCAGGAGCAGGGCAGTGACCTTGCCCCTGTTCTGGGCATTGGTGAGGCTGCCCCTCGAATGCTGGGGTCAAGGTTGGGCCCCTCCCTCCCCGAAGGACCTGGGGGGGCTGGAGCGTGTCCA